TTCAAGGCTTAACTACATCAATAAATGAATATGAAACAATGATAGGCCAAAAAATAGGAAGTGAATTGAAACCAATCAACATAGAATAATTATGCATGCATATGCTCTTTTAATCCTATTTATAGGATAGATATATAAGTATTTGTTTAGCTAGTTTTATAAATAAGATATTTCAATGATTATTGCATTTATTTTTTACTCTGTCGTTTTTTATTAAATTTTGATAAGGTTATTAAATGTTATAATATTTTATTTTAAAAAATATATATTAAATTATAAGTTATTCCCAACATATTTCACCAAAATTAAAAAAAAACTTTATTATTCTTACTGTGTTAGGAGAAATATGTTAGGAATGGCTTTGTAGGGAAATTACTTAGAATAATTATCAGAAGTTCCCCAAAAAAGGGGTGCTTTGATGACCTCGAATGCCTCTTCATTTATGGGTAAAGATCAAGAATCCTTACTGGATTCGAGCGGCGCTGCCTGCGAAATTGAACTCTCTTATTCATTTTTCGTTGAATGTGAACGTGCATGGAATTTTAATCACCTTATTGGTTTATTATTATATTTTCGACTTTTTTTTTGATAAAATATATTATCAACTTAATGCTTAAGCAAGCAAGTTCCTTTGTAATCACTTGGGCTGCGTAACCCCATGCGTAGAGATTCATTGCAGTCTTTTGATAACTGTTTAAGCAATGTGTACCTGATATCGATCCGTCTCTATCATAAATAAAGATGAAAATAGAATAAACCCTTATCAAGGGCCTATGCGCTGGCTTATTTCATATCTAACTTAACCTATTTATAAAATAAGTTCAAGTCATATTCATGCCTTTAATTAGACTTATTTAAGGTCTAGTTATTTATAAAATAAGTTCAAGTCATATTCATGCCTTTAATTAGACTTATTTAAGGTCTAGTTTTTCAAAATTTAGTCTGCAAGCATAACAAGTCAGCCTATTTATACACACACACAATGTAATATATCTCACACACATCAATTTCACAATTTAATTTTTAATCAATCTTTTTTTATTTTTATTCACATTTTCAATCAAAGTGGACTTATATATTAATTTTAATATTATTATGTTATTATATAGTATTGTAGTTGGTAAATTCTTTTAATTATTATATATTATAATTGATAAATCAGATTACATGTTTATATTAATAGTTTCCAATATATTTGAGATATTTAAAATTAAAATGTAAAATTATTTACCAGGCTTGCTTTTAAGTAAGCTTTTAAATAAGCTCTTAAACGAGGCTAAGCTTTAGATAGTCTCGGGCTTGAATTGTGAAAAAAGTTTTATATAAATATCAAGTCAAGCTCAATCATCTAATTTACCATATAGGCTCAGGCCTATTTGGTTAAAATTCAACTTAACCTAGCCTATTTCCACCTATAATCACAAGGATTCAACATCTTTGTTGATCAATATCCACAGATCGAGCAAAGACTTCTCTTTTAAGAGTTCTGTCAAATATATATTTTTATAAGAAGAATTAGTTGGCTTTTTTTTTCTCAAACACAAGAAAATATTTTTTTAGAGAAATAACAATTAAAGATTCTATAAGACCATTGATTATAATTAGGGACTCTAAATTATTAAAATTTTAATAATGGACCATTGTCCTTGCTTGACATTAAAAATATTTATGAATTTACATAATTTCCCTCAAGTAAATGTAAAAAAAACACTATTAAAATTACTATAATGAGTTGGGACTATTGTTAATTTTAGTTAGAAAAACTAAGATTCATACTTAGGATATGTTGTTTCTTAGTATGAAATTAAAATTCACTTATGAAACTTTATAAAAGTAATTGTAAATATACAATGGTTACTTTAAAATTTACCAAAATCACTTTTAAATATGAAGTCAATTTTTATGCTTGTCAATATGCAGGTAATTAAATCACTTGGAAGATAAAAAGAAAAGATACAATTGAAATTACTATCATGGATTGAAACTATTATCAATCTCAATTAAAAAAATCAAGATCCCAAGTGTTATAGTTGGACTATTGAAATTACTATTATAAATTAGAATTATTGAAATTACTATTGAGGGTTGAGACTATATATTGTTAATCATATTCTTAAGTATGGATCTTGATTTTTCCAATCGAAATTAACAATATTCTCAACTTATAATAATAATTTTAGTACTCAAGTCAATTTTATAAACTCATATATGTTTTTTGATTCTAAGTTATCAAGGACCATGATTCATTATTGGGGCATCAATAATTCAAGGTTTTTGATTGTGATTAATAATCTTATGTGATCCTTAATTGTCCAGTTTCGCTATGTCGTTTTCCATGGTTGGGCTCGGAAACAAGGAATTAAATTTTGGGCTGAGCCTCATATTAGAACTAGTTGGGTCATTAAAAAAAAAAAAAAGACATACACGAAGAAAACATATCGTATAAGATTACGTTATAAATTGATAACCCAATAACCTGCACATTGTAGTAAGCAGGGCATGTGTATATGTATATATATATATATATATTTGATATAAAGAGTCTTACATATCCTGATTTTTTACTGGGTTAAAATTGAATGATTCCATTTACATTTCTAATGCCGTATGATCAGGAAAACGTTTTCCAGTTTTATTTTCTTTCATTATATGTGTGTGAGAGAGAGAGAGAGAGAGAGAGAGGTACTTATATTGGTACTCCTGATCCAAACTTAAGGGGAAGCTTTGAAATATGCGCCGAATCACTCAAGCCAAAAACACCCACACCTATAATAGTTCTCCTAAAAAAAGCCGGGTAGTTTGCTTTTATCGAACATGGTAAGGCCCCTTGTATCAACATAGTAGTCCCTGAATCATATTCCAATATATATATATATATAGTCCCTAAATCTCATAATATTTAAAATATTTAAAAAAAGACTTCATTAATGTTAATTATTCTAATATTATCATTATTTTACTCCTTAAATAAATTTAATTTCCTCCCTCTCTATTATTAATGAAGAGTATTTTTAAAAGTTTATAAAAAAATTAAGATTATAAACTATATTTAATAAATGAAATTAGTATGTGTAATTTTGTAAAAATATCTCCTAAATTGATTGGTTGGAAGTCCCTAAAAAGAGTCAGCTCTTTTGAAAACCATCATGTGAATAATGAAAAACCTTGCTGTTCGGATAACATTTTAATAAAAATGTATTTGTGTCATTCATTGCATCAATATACTTAAAAAAAAAAAAGAAAGTCCAATCTTTTGAAATCCATAATGTGAACGACAGAAATAACCTTGCTGTTGGGATACTATTTTAATAAAAAATATTGTTGCCATTTATTTTAAAAATTTTTTATGTTGACATAATTTGTTATTCGTGCCAGACATACACCATGGTTTTATAAAAGACCTCTTTTTCTGTCTTTTTTATTTTTAATCTTGGTTTCCCATTCTCAAGTCTTTTTTTATTTATTATTCCAAATTTCTTAAAAAATTTTATGTTGTATAAAAACCGAGACGTGCGGAGAGGGGAGAGAGCAAGTCTCTGGGTCAACGCTTGAGCTAGACATCGGTATTAATGACGTCAGCAAGTGCTGAAATAACTAATATCGTTATCGCGCAACTTGCATTGCCATATAAAAATGTCTGCCTTTTTTTTTTTTAGCATATAAAAGGAACAAAGCATCAAGAGATATACAAACAATTTAGTCTAAAGTTAAGAAACATAACCTATCATCAGTCATCGCATTGAGACAATAAGGTGGGAGATGAAGATGCTGCCTTTCATTTAATCACACAATTACTCTCTATCTGTCCTCTTCTTTTTCACCCCTCGTTTATTAGTAATTTAATTTCATGACTTCTTGACATTTTTTGTTCTTGAAAAGGTATTAAGTATTAACAATCTTTTCTTAAAAACGTTAAAAGGAAACAAAAAAAAGATAAATATCGTTTTTTCAAATCCCATCAAACCAACTGTTTGATTCTTTGATTTGATCTAATATATTTTTTTGAAAAAAAGATAATATATTTTGAGTCTTAATTTCATCCTTTTACTTTATTAATTTTTTTATTTTCCTAAAGTATCATCACATTCGGCAATCATAAAACTAATTTATTAAAGAATATAAGTGTTATTTAAGAGGTTATTTTCTTTCAAACCATATTCTCCATACACACCTCAAGAAATCAAACTATGGAATGGCGCTTGAAGGATTTTACTGAACTTATTTTGATCCTTTCATTTTCAGAATGAAAAGATTCACCTTGTTTAACACCTAATTTTCTACTTTTCTTGACTACAAATGCTTGCATAGAATTAAATTAATCTATTTGAATAACTTTAACTACCCTACCATGCCAACCAAGCAAGCAATATAATATTACCTCTTTTTTAAATTATCAGATTGAGTAGCATACACTGAACTTGGTTAAAAACATACTAAAACATTTTTTTTGCCAAGAAAGAATATTAATGAAAGATCTCTGAAAAATTTTAATATTTGATAAGGACCCTAGACAAATTATGTACTTTTTAAAATAATAATTTCACTTATTAATTTGTTAATGTTAATGTTTACTAATTAGAAATCCTTCTTGTATATTAAATTATTTAGGGATCCTTAGCTGATATTCTCCCTTTTACCAATTAATGTTTTTATTAAAATAATTTACATTTACCAAATTAGCCCCAATAAATCCCTAATTTCTCTGCAACTCTTCATTTTTTTGACCGAATCTCTGCATCTTTTCATGCTATCATATGACGAGGCGTGTTTATATGGAGTGTTCATTACAGCTGTGAGCTTAAAACATACAACAAATTGACAAAGATAAATTATTGTGCACAAATAAATCCCTATGGCTTCCTCACCACGTGTCCTTTCTTTAAATTATGCTATGATAAATTTTTTTTCTTAAAAAAAAAGCAACGAAGATATTTTAAAACGAGTAGTCTTTCTTAGCGTGAAGAAGTGCACTTAGCATAGACGCCAATTGTTTGGCTTATTGTCTATATAAAAGAGCGCTTTTTCTTTGCTTTCTGATATAGCTGCACTTGAAGGTGTGAATGAAAATGTTGGAGAAAGTGGAAGAATTCAACATGGACAAAGTGATTGACAAGTTTGAGGAACTCACCAAGGATGCTGAAAGGGTTCAGAGGGAGACGCTTAGAAGGATCTTGGAAGACAATGCTTCAGCTGAGTACTTGCAGAATCTGGGTCTTCATGGAAGAACCGATCCTGAGAGTTTCAAGGCCCATGTCCCTCTTGTTACCCACAAGGAATTGGAGCCTTATATCATCAGAATCATTGATGGCGATGCCTCTTCCATTCTCACTGGAAAGCCAATCACAACAGTGTCTTTAAGGTCTGGCTTTTTGTTTCATTTTGGTTATACTCCCATTTCAGCAGCCACTAGTGGAGTTGAATCTGACAGACATGTTCTTGCAGTTCTGGAACTACTCAGGGGAAGCCCAAATATTTACCATGGAATGACGAATTGTTTGAAACTTCTGTGCACATGAATCAGACCTCTTTTGCCTTCAGGAACAGGTATTCTAAATATTTTTTCTCTTAACCTCAGGGAATCACATTTTCCATGTCCGTTCTTGCCTCTCTTCACAAATCTTGTAAGTTGTCACACACACAATCTTCTGACGCAGAGAGTTTCCTATAAAAAATGGGAAAGCCTTGAGCTTTATATATAGCAGCAAGCAGTTCAAAACAAAAGGGGGTCTCACGGCTGGAACTTCTACAACAAATTTGTTCAGACACGAAAAGTACAAATGCACGATGAAAGCACTTCAGTCCCAATGTTGCAGCCCGGATGAAGTAATATTCGGTCCTGATTTTCATCAATCCTTGTACTGCCACCTCTTGTGTGGCTTAATTTTCCGTGAGGAAGTTCAGCTGGTGTCTTCTACATTTGCACACAGCATAGTCCACGCATTTAGAACCTTTGAACAAGTCTGGGAAGAGCTCTGCACTGATATCCGAGAAGGGGTCCTCACAGGCAAAATCACAGTTCCATCCATTCGAACGGCCATGTCCAAACTTCTCAAACCAAATCCGGAGTTAGCTAACCTGATTGAAAAGAAATGCATGGGACTGAACAACTGGTACGGGTTAATACCAGAGCTCTTCCCCAACATTAAGTACATTCATGGGATCATGACAGGGTCCATGGAGCCTTATGTGAAGAAGTTGAAGCATTATGCTAGGGAGCTTCCTTTGGTGACTGCTGACTATGGAGCCTCTGAAGGATGTATTGCTGCGAATGTGAACCCAAAACTGCCCCCTGAATTGGCCACTTATGCCGTGCTTCCTCATCTTGGTTATTTTGAATTCATCCCTCTCAGTGAGTTGGAGCAAACCAATTGTGGGCCCAATTTCCATCGTGTTGATCCTCATACGGTGGGCTTGACTGAGGTGAAGGTTGGTGAAGAGTATGAGATCGTTACCACCAACCCAGCAGGTACGAGAGATATAGATGACATATTATTGTATGTATACATGGCTGGTCAATAGTACTGGCTGTTGTTCTTACAACTTCATGAGCAATTTACAGGTCTGTATCGGTATAGGCTGGGGGATGTGTTCAAGGTCATGGGGTTCCATAACTCGACCCCAGAGCTCAAGTTTGTTCGTCGTAGCAGCCTTCTGCTTACGATTAACATTGACAAGAACACCGAGAATGATCTGCAGTCAGCTGTAGAGGCAGCAGCGAAACTAGTAGCAGCAGAGAACTTGGAAGTCGTTGACTACACGAGCCATGTTGACTCATCCACTGAACCAGGGCACTATGTGATCTTCTGGGAGATGAATGGGGAAGCAAGTGAAGAGCTACTTGGTGAGTGTTGCAACTGTCTGGACAAGTCTTTTGTGGACGCAGGCTACATTAGCTCTCGCAAAACCAGCTGCATTGGGCCCCTCGAACTCCGGGTTGTCAGGAGGGGAACATTCCAGAAGATTCTAGAGCACTTCCTAGGATTAGGAGCTGCTGCTAGCCAGTACAAGACCCCAAGGTGTGTGGCTGCTTCACACAGTAAAGTGCTGCAAATCTTGAGTGAGGATGTTGTGAGGAGCTATCTCAGTTCTGCTTTCAATTGATGAAGTGCTGTGGTCTATGGGAAATATAGCAATTTGAAAAGCTTCCTTAGTTTTGTTCATCAAATCGTGCCACTTTGTTGAACCTTTTGTCTCTAAGGTATTCCTTCTTGTTTACACCTCACGTTTGTCTGTGTTTATGGTTTGGTATTGTAACAGTTATCCCAGAGCAGATTCGTTCCTGCCACTCTCTTCAACTCTGTTTTTCTTTTCATCTCTGCAAATGCAAATTATTATAGGAAACGGTTTATCATTGAGAGTAGAAATCCATTTACACACAATCTGTAGATTCATTTAATTATGTGGCGGTATGTGTATCTATGAATCTTAATTAAACGTGCTATATATTAATATTTTATTAAATAAGTCAATCTTTTGAAAGTTAAAAATGTCTCGCGTTAAATTCACACTTGGGATAATTATATTACAATGCTAACATTTGAATTACGAACTCCTCAAAAAGCATATGAGAAAATAATATTAACTCCATTTGCTAATAATTATCATTTAAGAATGTGCACCAATGAAGAAAATTATTAGATAGCCTTGGCTATAATAAATTTAATGGTATTTAAATAGAATATTCCCATATTAAAATATCTAAAATCTAACCATACTGCAGAACTATTTACCTATACCTATTTTTATTTTCAATGGTAAAAGGTAAAATGATATAAAAAAATTAATATTAATATTTTATTAAATTTTAAGGTAGCTATAATTTTGAAATAAAATTAGAACTTCAATGGTAGCCGAAAGATAGTATAACTAACTAATTCAATGCTTTAAAGTTTTATTTTTTTTAATCCTTCCATATTTATATACTCCCTATACTCTTGTTTATATAGAATAGAGGTAATATTTTTTTGCTCCGATTTATAAGTCATCTTATTAAATTTTTGATATAATTTTTTTAACTTTTCATTAAATGTTGAAGAGAAAAATATGTTTTTAAAATATGTATATTTAATAAGAATAAATTTAAGAACTTGTTAAATTGTAAGACAAAGATAATGAATTTTAATGTTTTTCTCAATTTTTGTGAAATATGTTAGAAGTGACTTATAAATAGAATTAGAAGAATATATTATTTGTAACTCTATGTAATATATGAATTCTCACATTAATTTAAATGCACTCACATTTAAAGATTTTAAAATAATTAATAAATAATAACATACTCCCTTCATTTTTATATATTAAAAAAAAAACTACGTCACACCATTTAAAAAAAGTCGCTTAATTATAATAATTATGTCTGAAAATAAAAAATGATTAAAATTTCCTATGTTAATTAACAAAATTATACATTAATTATTTCTTGTTAATGTAAATTATGAAGAGTGATTTAAAAAATATGTAATAAATGATTATTAAAATTGGTGATTTTGCTTATAAAAATATGCAAGTCAAATGTAATAGTTTCTCTAATAATAAAAATACGAAGGGAGTATAATTTTATTCTTGAAGAGAGTCATAGCACAAAATATCTATCAAAGTAGAGTTTTTCATTCAAGATTCATTTCTTGTTTCTTGAGTATCTTTCTCATGTAATGTACTCTCTTTATTTTTATATATAAGATGTTTTTTCAAAATTTATTTTATCTCTAAATATAAGGGGGCATGATATTTTTAAATAATTAGATAATTTTATCTTTATTTTAAAAAATAGGTAAGATATTAAGTTTTTTGCTTTGTTCATTATTATTATGCTATTAATTGTGACATTATTAAAGGTAAAATAAAAAATTATTATAATTTTATGTAATTTGATCTAAATAATACACTTTTATTAATATGTCAAATTCAGTTATAAAAAATCTTATATACACAGACGAAGGGAGTAGCCATTGGCAATGGACTCCAACTCTCGCAGGTCACGATGCACTTGATTACTGCTGGGTTTTCCATATCGTTGCAGAGAGTGGAAGACAAAAATCAGCGACACAACTAGCTTAGGCCTCTGGCAAAGGAGTAGGACTAATATGCTGTCTGCGCGTGCTATAATTGAATTGTGATTACAAGGCAAACAGTGCGGGCCCGTTTGATATAATAAAAGAATTTTTAATAGATTTGAAATCAAAATTAAAATTAAATTAAATTTTGAAAATATATTTAGTATAAAAATAAAATTATGCTATAATTTTAATAAGTATATGTATTTAGAATAAAAAAATTAAAACAACCTTTATTTTATTTTACTTAATGAAAAGCTTAACAATTAAAAAATAAAAATTGTACTTTTAAATTCAAAATATTTTTTATTTTATTTTTTTTAATGACACATAAGTTAATTTTATGTTTAGTTTGTCAATTTCATGACTTTTATAATAGAATTGGGTTCCATCAATTTTGATGGAATCAGATTTCTTTAAGAAAATAATTCTAACATATCAAACAAATTAATTAGATAATTTTATATCTAATTTCATTTCCCTACTTACAATTTTAAGATACCAAACTTGAAAAGTTGCACGATTCCAAGAGTGCGTTAAGTGGATGGTACAATAGTGGTGGGCTACCTTGCACTGTTGCTAGCACAAGTCATACATTCATTATTTCTCAAATGAAAGAGATTCAATGCCCACTATGGGTTCTTCCGCAAGTTCAGCAATCGACTTTGAATCTTTTATACGCTCTGTTTGCAGTCCGGTTTTGGTGCTAACTTCGTACGGTCCAAATTTTAAGATTTTATTTTAATATTTTTATTTTATATTTATTATAAAAATTATAATATTTTAACAAAGCTATCTTATCATTAATATGGACAATACAGATTTAATTTAATATTAATTTTTTATAATTTTTATAAATTAATTATCCAGATATATTTTGAACTATTTGAATTTAATAATAAACTTTTCTAGAATTTTTATTTTAGTAAATATAATATTAAAAAATAAAAAGAAAGATAATCTCCAAACTGAAACTTTAAAAAAATTAAAAAAATGTTGCAACTTAAAATTTTTAAATTCAAACTGCTTAGAATACATTTGGATAGTCAATTTATAAAATTATAAAAAAATTTTATATTATATTGAATCATCTAAATAAAATATGTATTGTTTAAATTGATAATAAAATAAATTTATTAAAATTTTCTAATTTTTTTATAAAATTATAAATATAAAATGTTAAAATCCAGACTGTCGAGATTAAAAATCTAGACAGTCTAGATTGTCCATCAGGTGAGCAGAGCACCACTTGACGAGCATTGAAGCCAAATTCCTCTGTCTATCTTTGGATAAGGATAAACATTGTGAGTGAATCATTGTTATACCCTACAATACATCTTTCATGTACTATCACATCAATTCAAAAGGAAGGAAAAGAGTGATGAAAGGGGAGGAACACCAATACACTGCTTATCCGTTATCTTTATTTCATGTTTCAACCTAGCCAATGATTTAAGGTTCAAGCCCTAGAATGTAACGTTAAAACTCGATGTCAAGGTTAGCTACCCAAAAAGGTCGTGCAATGTTCCTCATTAACTTGATATGGGATAAACCCTGGATACTAAATCTGCAGGGAAAAGGGTATCTTTCGTTGTGTTGGTAGATATTGAAAATTCCTTAATGAGAGATGCGGGTATGATGGAGCAAATATAAGTCTCATGATCAAGTGGTAAAACCTAGCTACAGTTGCAAATTTTGTGCACGCTTAAATGAAAAGGACTTTTGCATGGAGAAGCATGAGAGAATTTCGTGGATACTTAAAATATGCTCTGCTTATAGCCTAATGGAATGCATGCCTGTGATGCAACTCTGTGAGATAAAGAGGTTCATTTTGTAACTGCGTGCATGTGTATGGTGTGCGTGCGTGTGTATACATGAATAAGGCAGATAAGCAGAGAAGTCACGTACCAATGTATAATTCTATGCAGTCGTCGATTGCAGTTATAAGATATTTATGTTGTTTTTATACTTTCATTTTCCTCTTGTGATCTACACATGAGAGGAAATTAAAGTTCTAATGCAAGCCAAGAAGTTAACACTTGGCACTGTTACTGTATCCACGTGGCTCAGCTTGCGAACGAGGCGCGTACGTTGACCTGGTTGAGGCTCCAATGTGATCTGCTTCCTGATTCACGTCGATTGGAAAATTAAAGCAGTATGCGATATGATTAGGAAGAAAGTTTGAACACAAAAAATGTTATGAAAAAACAAAAAAATGGCAGTTGATGCGTGATAGATGGGGTTTCAGAAATCGTGGAATTGAATATATCCAAGGATACATCATTCATGAGATCTTGAAATGACCTGACATCAACATGATGTTTATTTTGAAGAGAGTATCAAAGCACGAGAAAAACAAAAGGGGAAAAAGGGGACGCATTCAGTGTGTTATCCTTTTTAATGCTTTGAAATGGTTCAACCAATAACATGCACATGATGATTGATAGTGGGGGTATATTATTCAAAGAGTGGCTGCAGTTTTAATCTAATTTAATTTCAAAAGGGTGGTCAACTATATACATTTGTCAGGTTTCGGATCGTTACGTGAGAAGATAAAGCTTTTAAAGCAGGAAGTAGGGCTGTGCAAAAGTCCCAGTCCTGTCCTGGTCCAGTCCAACCCGAGATGGTCTCAGTCTTGTTCGGTCTGTATAGTCACTGGTCCTTCAGGACCAAAAGGACTAAAAGACCAGACTATTTTTTCGGGTTGGACTGGACAAGAGACCAGGCATCCGACCACTTGGTCCAGTCCAGTCCTATTAATTTTTTTTTATTATAATTATAATAATTTATTTTGACAAATGTTAAAGTGTAATTGATGCTAAGGAGATGATTGCATAAAGATTTATTAAGTTTGTTTCAAATTGTTATTGTAATATAGTGTTGTTGAATTTTTTTGAGTACTGTTTTTATTAAAGTTTATAAATTTAAATAATTTAACTATAACAAAAAAATATTTTTTTTCTTATTGTTAGAAATTATTATGGATTTATTATTATTATAGGTATTTTTACTATCTTAATGAGTTTATTATGTTGGAATGGATTATTGCCTCTCATAGAATAAAAAGAGGGAAAAAAAGCTAAGTGAGTACTGGACTGACAGGACCAGTCTCCCGTCCTATGGACCAAGTCCGGTCCTGTTAATCTTCGGGTTATTACTGGACAAGACTGGACTACGGGTTACCTAACCCAGTCTTTTTTCATAAAAGAGACCGGACTTCGGTTAGGGTGAAGTCCAGTGCTGTCCAGTCCTTTGTGCAGCCCTAGCAGGAAGGGATGATTATCTATTCTAGCTTGGTCATATATTGAATCTCATGATGAATGCTTGATCCAATTTATGCAAAATTACACCCCTAGCTATCATACATGTGACTACATGAGCAGGCAGCTAGTATGATTTTTGGGAATTATTCCCAAGTCCCCAACAGTCCATTTAAATATCAGAAGGTTTACTAACAATTTTGCAAATAAAAATGACAACATTTTAGTTTTTATTTGCTTTACCAAATTATCAATAGATCTTCTAGCATTTAAATAGTTGTGAGGGACTTTAAAGTAATTTTTTAATGATTTTTCAATTTTAAACCCAAAGGACGGCGTGACAATGTCCCTTATCTTTTATGGATGATGTTCTACTTAATGGGCTGTTTAAAGCCCAAGTCTCTTTCACTGATGTTCTAATTTCATTGGCTAGGGAGTGGCGAGCATTATCCAGTGCAGTGAACACTATAGAACTGTATTGTTATTGGGTAAGGCCTAATGGTTAGAAGTCAGAATAAAGTGAATTTTATTCACTGAATGTACTTGATACAAGCAACAAGTGCATGTAACATTTAAATAGTTAAAATTTAAATTAATAATTATGAATTTATATTTTATTTGAGATTAATAAATAGATAAATTATTTAAACAATTGATCTGAATTTCAACAACTTAAATGACATAGACATTCAATGTTTATAGTTACCAAATTTAAATCTAAACAAAGTATTCCATTCACTCAATCACTCACTCTCATCATAGTTTAACAGTGACAAGCAACCATAAAGGCTAATTTATTAATATAATTGATTTGATTTAAATGAAAGATGAAATAATTATTGTAGAATTACAATTATTAGAGTCCACCCCATTTTTGAATCATCTAAATGTTGGATGTGATGTAAACGACAGTGAACAGGATAATTTGGTCCTTAATTGTTTTTGTTTGGTAAAATCTTAGATGTTATTGTCATTCTTAAACTCATCACTGTTAGGGGCTTTCCATAGATTATATCGTGGACAAAATTATGGGCTCTTTTCTCTCTCCTTCATTGAGGGCCAATATGTAACCCGAGTCAACTACACTTGGACATTTGTCGAAGTGTCTTGGGCTGTCAGCAGCCCATTTAGTTAACGTCATCCACACAAAAAGGACTAAGGACATAGTAACGGAAATTGCCTCCCACAATTTACTGATAGTGACTTCCAGACTGGAAGCTCACTCTTGTACAAAGATTCAAGAGTCGACCAATAAAAATTAATTCAGTTATAAAAATTTAATTTATAATTTATAAGATCATACGTTTAAATCTCGCTATTAATATAAAACTTTATTAACAAATGATATGTAAGTAATACTGTAACAATTCTTTGACCCATAAACACAATCTTTAGTGAGCTATTCAATTATCGAAACTTTTGCCTTGGAGAAAAAAAAAAAAAAATCAACCCACTTAAATCTCTCAAAATTGCTTCCGAGAAATCGACTGCTTTCCTATTCCCAAACATTCGCATACCGTTATATCCTATTCTTAGAGAAGATGGAGCAAGATGGAATCAGTACCCTGTGGGATGTTTACAGTTACATGCTAATCAACCTTAATCCATTTCGGACGTATCCATCGCTTTTGGTGCTTACATAGAAGCTCGATAGCTACAAACAGTGATTGTGCTTCAATAAACAGTAATACACTAAGTAACAAACCACAACAAAACACAAGATATAATAGATCCGAAATGAAAAATGAGAAAGAGTTGCATCATTCCTTCCTATTTCTTCCACCAAGCAATCGTGTCACAGATCCCAGAAAACCCGGTTCTCACTTTCCTGTGCTTTTCCTTCTTCCTCTTCCTCTTCCACACCCAATTCACCAAAAACCCACCGACTCTATTCGCCACGGAAGAACCTCCAGCCTTCCCTGAAGATCTCAAATCCGCTGCATCACAAAACTCTCTGTTGATCTGCCTTGATCCTCCAGGAGATGGTAAAGCCATCATGTGTCTCTCTATCAGATGAGTGAGAGACACCAATTCATAAGAATCATATAATGGACTCCCACAGTCCCATATGGGGAAACCTGATTCTTCTTTCTCATAAGTTCTTGTCATCTTCTGTAATCTCCGCATGCGAATGCTGGGAGTTTCTCAAAGTCTTGGTCGTTTTAAGTTTAGATGCGCCATCCAATAGGACAAAGCAGATTAACAATTCCTGAGATTCCAGAGTTTGGCATGTGTTGGATGACCATCAGAATCTGGAAGGGTTTGTCCTTTACAAATAATTGCCTTTGGTTTGTCCTGGGAATATGACAGATCAATTGGCTTTAAATATTGGGTTAAGATCGCATTGAGCAAATAATCCATCAGGTCTTTGTAGAATTAGATTGCAACTAGCAATTTATAAATGTTTCTTTAAGTAATGATGAAACTAACAAACAATACAATGAATGCTTTGAAATTAAGAGATTTTTTAAAAGTGAAGCGCATCTGTAGTACTAAATCATTGTTGATTATCATTTAGCTAGTGAAATTCATTTCAAGTCAAACTGTCAGTTCATTTATTATCTGCTTTTATTTTCCAATATTTATTTGACTATTTATAAGGATACAATTGGGAATTTGTTTAGAGTTAATAAGCATTTGGACCCTGAAATATTACACAAAAAGCATAATGGACTTTGAACTCTTAAAATATACAAAATAGGCATTAAACTTCTAAACTCATAGCAAATTAACCCCCACCATTAACTTATACTTAACGTCGTTAATTTGTTAATGTGCACTAGTCAAATGTTGATGTGGTAATTCCTTTAATGTGTCATTAATTTGTTAATGAGTACCGTAGATACTAAACTATTGTATGAGTAGGCACCCTAAACAAATTACCCTATGATTTATGTATAAAATGTTAACTATTATATGGACCAAAAGCCTCAGCGTGATTTGCCGTGGTGAACAATCTTTAGCTTCGGTAAACGGACCATAATTATGTAAAGAACCTTTTTTTGCCCTCCTTTTTTCAATGTTTTCCAAACGATTGGTATCCCATACTTCTATATTCTATAACTCTGATTTAATTTTATTTTGAATAATATTTATTTTATTAATGTTAAAAACTTGAGATCCCATTTTAAAAAAATGTTTAAATATTAGAGAATTTTATAGACAATGGATTGCAAAAGTCAACAATTTCATTACGAATTTCAAACCCAAATTAACCAGTTAATTAAAATTCTAAGATACTTAAATTTCTTTTTAAATGGATCATCAGTTTTCACCATTAAATAAATAAAGGTTATTCAAAATAAGATTAAATCAAAGTTATAGAGTATATAGAAGTATAAGATATCAATTATTTAAAAACATTGTAAAAAAGGGCCAAAAAGTCATTTCACAAATTTTGGGTCGTTCATCGTGACGGACCATGCTGATGCTAATTTCATTTATACAATAGTTAATGTTCTATACATAAATAGTGGAGTAATTTGCTTTGAATTTTAAAGTTCAAGGTCTAAGAAGTTACTCACACAATAATTTAAGGTCTATGGTACTCTTAATAGATGACATATCAGTAAGAGACGTCACATCAGTATTTGACTAGGCCTCATAGTGAATAACAATGATGAACAATAATGGGGTTAAATATAAGTTAATGGTGAGGAGTGATTGTTACGGTGAGAAGTGAGTTGCTAAGAATTTAAAAGTGATGATCCATTTTGCATATTTTAATATTTTAAAGTTTAAAATGCTTTTTATGTAACACTTCAAGATCTAAAATGCTTATAAACCATTTGTTTAATAAAAAAATATAAGTACATGTCTTGAGTATTGTAGAATTCAATATAAATAAATAAATACATATATCATTATTTTCAGCTATGCAATCTTTTTAATTAAGATGTCTCTTTCATTTTTCACGGCCCCATGGCATAGGACATGTTTTCATTTATCTACAATATGTTATTAGAACTTTCATCAAGGTAAAGATAAAAATTTGATCACCAAACTATTTTTTTAAAAACATGGATGGCTTATACTATGAGGTGGTATAAAATAATTTTTTAATTTTTACAAATGGAGCATTTAGTGCCCACTGTTAATTTCACTTGATGAATGTTAAGTTGGGCCTATAAAATTTGACTAAAAATGACACACGACAATCCACTTTAGGATGGGTAAAAGTGCAAATTTAATCCTGAATTTTTCGAAGCATTGGGTAGTTACCACTATTGGATGGTGCAAAGAAAATTACCAATTATAAAAACGGACTGTCTAAAACCTTCCTCAATTTTGACTAAATGTCATTTATTTTTAGATTTATATGACCCACAACATGTCAATTTCTTCAATTTTTTTTCTTTTATTCTCAATCTCAACTCGATAAAATTTGAATTACAGTGCTTTACTCTTGGGAGAAGCTTGATTCAAGTTTGATTTAGCCATGAATTATTTTTATAAAAAATAAAGCTATGAATCAAGCTTCTCCCATACGTAATAGCATTGTAATTCAAATTGCTATTTCGCTTGAATTGCTATAAAGATTTAAACAAAACCTTCTCTTCTTCTTCTTCTTTTTTTTTTTATTGGCATTATCCTTGTGAATGTTTTTGTATAAGTACTCCTTGAGCCTCTTCTTTTTGAGTTGGGATTGAGAATAAACGTAAGAAGACTGAAGATATTGACGCGTTGTGGGTATCACAAGTTCAAAAAAAATGACATTTGGTCAAAATTGATAGGAATGTAATGGATGGTCTGTTGTTTATAGTAAAAGCTATCTAGTATTCTTTAAAAAATAGTTAATACCTAGATTAGTATCTTTATTTGTTGAGGCGGAGTGTCACGTGTCATTTCAATCAAAAATTTATGGGGCCCACATGAAAAGTTAATGTTTGTTAAATTAAAATTAACGGAGACTATTAGATGCTATCCAATACTCTTAAAAAAATAATTGAGAGCCAAATTTGGACATTTACCTTCCATCTAAAATTATTTATTTATTTTTTAACAAATTCAATCCTCCATTTTCTAACAACTGGAAATTGAAAAAGTCAATGTGTAAAATTTGCACAGTGCGTTATTAGAATTTCCATCTAAAATTATTCTTATTATTTTTTAAAAAAATTCAATCCTACATTTTCTAACAACTGGAAATTAAGAAAAATCAAATGTAAAATTGATTTTTAAATCAATCAAAAAATAGAAACTTAAACAATCTAACATACTCCTTCCAGACTAAAATATAGTGCATTATTAACTAATTCACATTTTATAAAATTATTAGTTAAAATATTAATTTCTTAAAAAAATTCACATAGTTTATATTTTACCCTCATTAAATATCCTATATAAATGCTTTGATAAGATAATTAAAAATTTTAATCCATCAGTTTTTAAAATAAGTAATAACTAAAGTAGGGGTATAATTAAAAAAATAATTATAAAATTATCTAATATCTTATATTTTGAATCAAGTAAAACTTTTAAAAAATATATTATATTTGTAATTCAGAAAAGTAGTAGTTAAACTAAAAGTGAATTATCGTTCAATGAGTATTTTTCAATTTCAATATTTGAAGATGAAAGGAAAAGATATATGCTCAATACGAGAAACCTCATGTAATCTTTTTTGAGTAATTATGTAATATTTTTTATTATGTTATCATCTTTTATGCAAAAATTTTTTTTCCAATATTTGCAGGAAATATTATGGTTAACCAAAAATTAAACAAGAGTTTTTTTTATAGCAAAAAGAAGGATTCTTTTTTTGGGGGGGGGGGAATAAGCAATATTTTTTCTCTTTCATCGTAAGTCTTTACCTTCATATGATTGATATGGTAAAAGTACCAGCAAGTAGGAACGTTTCAAGGACCTGATGAAAAATTTATCTATAAATAAAGATTAATATAAAATAAATTATTATTAAAATAAAAATATGAATTTTTTTTAGAGTTTGTTATTATTCTTATAGTAAAAATTTATTATCATATCTTTTTATATGTTATTTTCTCAGAGTATTATTTATTAATCCTATATTCGAAAAAGAAGTTTTCATGAAAGTACACGGAAGATCTAGCGAAAGTATCGAGATTATTCATTGACAAAGTTTACCCTTATCCACAAAACTCGAACTTCTAATAGATTCAAACTTTTTTGCCTTAGGCCACCGAAGAGCCATAAATTGGCCTGTCCCCCTGAACTTTCACCTCGGAAACAATAATGAGCCATCACTTTTGCAGATGAGGACTTGTTCCGTTCTAGAGTCTACTACAACGCAACACAACCACTCCTACACACACTAGCTCATTGTAACATCCACTTGACTGCTTTGGAATTTTTAATTGGCCTTCTAATCGCAGTTCTTCTCTCTCTCTCTCACACA